CCCAACCCAGCCTGAGAACCTAGAGAAAAAGAAGAGTGGTGGGTAAAAGCACAGGCTGCCGGCAAACAGCACCAGGTTCGAGTCCTGGCTTTGCCACTAAGGCAACTTTGGGGAAGAGCCCTTGTCTCTCCATGTCTTGGTCTCCTTGCCTGTAAAATGGTGACACTACCTCACACGGTGGCTGTGGCAGATAAGATACAAATGTATGTAATGACCTAGCAGGGTGCCTAGTGGCCACTGAGGATGAACACAGGACCAGGGGCCCTGCTGCTGGAAGGAGGGAGGGGGGAGAGAAGCCAACTCTAGGCCAGCGGCCCGAGACCTGCCAGGTGAGGAAGACTTCCTGGGCACTTCCCAGGAGGATATCCTCCCAACCCATTCTCCTGGTTCCACGAAACCAGGCTGCCAGGCCCAAAGTAACCCCTGCTGACACCTGGCCTGAGGTCTTTGTGCCCCAACAGAGCATCTTCAGACCCAGGCCACAGGGCGGCCCCTCCACCTTTGTGCCTACTCACCCTCAAGGCTCACACCTGACAGAAGCACTGCATGGGGATAGAGACCGAGGTTTCTGCTAGGAGCTGCCAGGGTAAACTGAGTCAGGGCCAGACTCAGGCAAGCACAACAATTCATGTGTGTCCCCTCAACCTCCCAACCGGCCCCCGTCTCAGGCAGACAAGAAGGCCAAACCTCTGGCTGGCCCATGGCAATCCCTCCCCACTGAGCGGCCCCTGGCACGGAGGAGGGATTCTGATTTCAGATAAGTAGGACCTGCTGCTTCCTGCTCATGGTGGCCAGAGACTCCAGCTGAGGCCTCCCTCTCTGCAGGACAGGGTTCCTCAAAACCAACAGGAAACTCCCACAGGACAGGGCCCAGATTTGCTCACCCCGTCTCAATAAACAGGAGAGTCAACAAAATCATGCACCAGGCATTCCCCACCCACCTCTGCTGCTGCGACCACCTCTGCTGCTGCTGCGAAGGCCCCGACACACTGCTCAAAACCCCCACGTGGGGAGGGAAAGGAGCACTGGGGGTGGGGGAGCCGGAGCGTCCGGATGTTCCGACAGGACACATGCTCAGATCTCCCCTTGCCTGGGAGAGGGGCCCAGGAGCAACCATGTGGAACAAGAGCAAGCTGTAAACAGCAGCTGTAATAAGACATGATTTTGGATAAATAAGCAAATAGTAGTAATGCACGTGGGAGAATATCCCCTCCCCGTGCTCCTCTGGGGAGAGGGGTCACGGGAGACTTCCACTTTCTGTACAACATCAAAACCAAGACGTTATAAAAACGTAGTGAACATGCAGCTATGTTGGTAACAACAAAGTAACAATGATAACAACAAAAATATTTCTTTTAAAATCCAGGCTAAGGAGGGCCAGTCCTTCCTTAACAAAGAGCCGAGGTGGAGAATGCAGGGAGGCCTCGGGCACGGAGCAAAGGACCCTGGCCCAGGACCCCAGGATCAGGTTCCAGTCCCATGTCCCTACCTTCCTTCCGGATGAGTTTGGGTAAATTGCTTCCTCCCTCCCAGCCTCAGTTTCCTCATCTGTAAATAGGATGAAGGGCCTCTGCTCCTGGGCTTCCCCAAGTGACCAAAAAAGATCATTGGTTAAGGGTGTGTTTTCCAGATTATAATGCAGTCTGTACACACCCCGCTATGATCAGGGGACATGTTCTGGGACACGCTCAGCTAAGTGCCTGTCCCAGTATCAACGCACTTAATATTCAAAATACCCTAAAGGGAGGTAAGGCACTGATATTATCCCCTTTCTACTGACGAGGAAACGGAGGCTCACAGAGCAATAGTGACTGGTCCACAGTCACTTGAGGGAACATGAGACAGCTGAACTCACACCCAGGTCTGACTACAAGGTGCTGGTCCTAACCAGTGCTTTCTCCTGCCTTTGGGAACTGTTTTCCAAAGCACAGGTCACGGAACCCCAGTCCCCAGAGGTCCATCCCCATGGTCAAGTGAGTGTGGGGAAACACGACTTGCTAGCTCCCTCTCCGAGACTCATCATGCTCTATTCAGTGCATTCAAGGCTCTGAGAAGTCCTGTAGCAAGGTCAGGAAGTTGTTCCCAACTGTGACCAACACCAAGAAACTGGTGTTCCCAGGAACACACCTTGGGAAATGTGGTCCTGAGACCGTATCTGCAAGCCAGACTGACAAGCTCTGGGCTGAGGGGGGAAAAACAGAGTTTGGCAGTGAAATTCAACATTGGTATTTGAAGGGTACAGCAACCATGAACCACTCAGCTGGCCACTGAGTCGGGAGGAGCAGGGAGAATTCTGCCTTCTGCCACCTCTGCCCCAGATGCCCGGACCTACAGTGAGAGGAGCAAAGGACTGCAGAGACGGAGGAGATACTACCCTTTGCTCCCCAGGCTGGGGAAGGCACCCGAGCTGAGGCTGTGGCTGGCCCAGAGGGAGAGGGGCCCGTCCTTACCTGGGGGCCGGCTCTGCTATCTGCGTGCTGGCCGTCGGTGCTGAGGCTGGCCCACTTCTGTCTGGGCAGGGTCCTGGCATTTCTTTCGCTCCATGGAAGCTGCCTCCCTACGAGGAAGCAAGAGCTACTGTCAGCAGGGATGTGTGTGACTATTAGGGTTACCTGCTGTGCTGCCAACATTTTCCAAGGCCTGCTTGGTGCCAGGCTCTCAGCTGGGCTCTGGGGTGACAAAAGGGAATCAGACAGTCTACTGGGGAGATGCCAAGTAAACAGTTACAAGTGGTTCTTGAGAGCCCAGGGCTCAGCTGCGGGGCACCCAGACACTATGGGGACATAGAAGAAACACTAGACCCACACTGATGGGGTCCAGGAAGGCTCCCTGGAAAAGGTGCTGAGTTGACTGCTGAGGAAGAGGAGGAGCTGGAGAAAGGGCTTCCAGGCAGAAGGAACAGCACGTGTTTGCCTGGAGGGGAGAGAATGTGGCATCTAGAGAATGCAAAGTGGGTCAACCTGGCTAGATCCAGGGCTGGGGGTGGGATGTGGAGAGAGGCGAGCTGTTGCGAGGTGAGCCAAATCCAGGAAAAGACAAGTCCTCAGCCCAGACACGTGATTTTGACTCAAACACAAAACCCAACCATTACCTGTTAGTCAAGGAAGCATTTAGTGAGCATCTACTACACGCCAGCACCCTGCTCAGAAACATTCATAAAAGTGAACAAGTCAGCAGGGTGGGGACAGAAGTGTCCTCGGACTATAACAGGAGCAGGAGAAGCATCTACATCAGCGGGAGCTGCGCGGGGCCCAGCCATCAGGGAGGCCAAAGAACAAGCAGGACTTAGCAGGAAGGAGGGGGCGGAGTGGGGTGGGGGGAGGAGTGCAGGCAGGCAAAAGAACTTGGACCGTTCGAGGAGGGACTGGGAGCCTGTTAAGCGTTTATGCCAAGGAGCAGTTACCACACCTACACGGTGCGATGCACTGTGCTGGGAGGAGAAGCAGAGGATGGCCTCCAGGCTCACGGGGAGACAACCACCCGCAATCCCACACAGGGTGATGGCAACTGGGCAGAAAAGCACTCAATAGAGAAGCACTAGGCAGAAGCCACAGGGGCCACCTAAGCTGGCCTCTACTCCCGCCTCAGCAAGGATGGGGATACCCACCAGGCAGTCTAGTCACCTGCCTGTGAAGGGTCCAGGACCAGAACTCCGGCCTCTGGATTTCCTGTAACTGATTCTTCTCTGCCTTCCTCTTCTAGGAAACACAGTGACCCACCCCTACATATCCACCCAGAGCCAATGCCTTTCCTCTGGGCTGCCTCTGTGACATTTCTATTAATAAGCTGCAGCAATGTTTTCCTGTCCTGTCTGCCTCCCTTCTGAGACTGCAGCTCAGAGGAGACCAGAACTCTGCTCTCCCAGCACCGCTCCTGGGCCAGGCCAGGCTCTTACTAAAGGACAGCTGAGTGAATGAATGAAGGAGTCAGTGATGGAGAGAAAGTGTGCTGGGCTCTAGGGTGCCACATCCATCCCACCTGACTCCTCACGAGGTCTTAGACCATTTGCCTGTGCCTTGGTGTCCCCACCCAGTGTCACCTCCACTATCAGGAGGAGGAATCAGGAATTGGGCTGATTCTTTCCTTCCAGCTCCTACCGGCGAGGTGCAGGCCAGGCCAGGCAGCAACCCAATGCCCAGCCACGGCCCCAAGTTCTGACCTACTGGGGTAAACCTCAGGAGCCCCACTGTCCAGCAAGGCCACTCCAAGGCTGCAGAGGAAACCGCTTCCTCGTGGGTGTGTCCAAGGGATGGAACACAAAAGCATCTGGTTGAGTTCCAGGGCAGAGTCACAGACATTTCTTGAGCCTCTGCTCTGTCCCACAGCCCCTAGAAGGCAAAGGGGCACCAGGCCCAACGCCAAACTATCTCTAATACTGGAGAGACAAGGGAAGTGGAGGGTCATGTCATTTACGTCCCAGCATCTCTCCAGAAGCCAGTCCTCCAGCACACGTCGCCTGCCCCTGCCTCCCCTGGTGAGCCTGGGGAAGACTTGACCTTCACAAAGGCAACGCCAGTGTGAATGAGCCACGGGCACTGCCCAGTCCCTCTGAGCAAACTCCCACTCCTCCAACCTCCTACACAGGAAGCGGTGCCAACAGCAGACCTCCCTGTTCTGCCTCCAGTCTGTCTGTCTGCCAGTCTGTCTGCTCCGAGGGCAGTATACAGTTTGGCAGGATAGTTACAGGGAGAGGCCCTTGGGAGGCCTTCAGGTCCTCCAAACCCTTCCTCCACAATGCAGGCCCAAATCCCCTTTTCCTCTTCCTCACACCTCATCCTCAAAAAGGCTTCCTGGGGCAGGGCGGGGAAGAGGTAGGTCAGCGCAATGTGGTCACCAAGGGAAAGCCCCACCCTCTCGGCCAAGTCCCTACCAGGAGGAGGCCGCCAGACACCCCCGACCATCTCTCCCCCTTTCCAAAAAAGGCAGCAGTTGCATCAGCTGGGACCAGCCCAGTCCTGGTTCATTCCAGCCCGGACCATGGGGAAGGAAAGCAGTCAAGCAAAGGAGCAGAATCATCCTGAGCCACAAGCACCCGGGGCCGCGCGCCTGCCGCCCGGGCCGACTCCCCAGCTCGCCCACAGCGGCCCGGCCCGGCCCGGGCCCATCTGCCCTTCAGGCCCGTCTGTCTGCACGCGCAGGACGTGGGCAGGCTCCCGGGAACCC